TGATATCTCTCTAACAATTGGTATCAATTTTTCAAATGCATAACATTTTTTGATAGCTTTATGCACATGCACTTAGTTTCAACAATTGGTATTGCATAAAGTATATTGGACTTGAATATATTGAATTTCATGTGCTACTAACATGTTTGTTCATCTTTGTTGAAATTCAATTTTTAAGTGACAAGCTTTTAAAGTCAAATTTTTGTTTGGAATGCATTTGTTGAGGGGGAGGTTTTGATTCTTCAAATGACTTTTAATGATAAAATTACTACTTACTCTCCATTGTTATTTTAGAACCTTAAAAGTTTGGATTATTTTTTTATAACAAAAATGGGGAGAAGTATATGTTTGAAAATTTCAATTTCAAGAATGAAAAAGGGGGAGCTTTACTGCTTTCCAAAATATGTCTCTTTTTAATTAAATATTTTATTAAGGGTGAGTTTTGACAAAGATTGTTTTTCAAAGATTTTGTTATATCAAAAATGGAGAGATTGTAGAACTTATATTTTGATATAACAAATAAGGACAAAATGTTTTTGGATTAAATAGAATGTATTCAAATCTTCAAAAATAATTCAAAGTCCAATAAAAGTTAAAAAGTATGTTTTTAAATGTTTTTCAAATTTAGTCGAACCTTTTCAAAACACACTCGATCGTTTTTGCGCTTTAAAGTCATGTTTCAAAGCTTATCTACTCAAAAGATCGATCCCTTGGACAATAGTGAGTTTGGGATCGATCCCTCGAGGAAAAGGACTAATCCTTTCCCAAAAAGGATCGATCCATTTGGTATAACAGTCGAAATATTTAAAAAAGGATCGATCCCTTGTGCCTTAAAAGTTGCAGGTAACAACTATTTTGATCCCCAACGGCTAGTAACTCATTCCAACATATAAAAATAAGTTCAAGACACTTGAAGAAGGTTACCAACACCTATCTAAGTTTAGAAATCAAGAGAAAAAAGTTTTCATTCCTATTTCCTTTATTTTTCTTTTTGTAAATATTTTTGTTTTGAGCTCAATTGTATATCCTTAGGTTTTGTTTTTGTGAGTTAAATCTTTGTAAACACCAACCTAGAGAGGTCTTTTTGTTTACACATTTCTTATCCTTTGTAAAGGAGTTTTGGTTCTAGTTTAGCCAAGTGAAAAACTAGGGAGTTGTAAAGGTTATTTTTTATAATTGAAAAAGAAAGAACAAATTAGTGGATTTGTTGGAAAATTCTAAGTGAGGAGCTTAGGTAGTGGATGTAGAATTCATTGAGGAAGTTGAACCACTATAAATTATTGTACAAATTTTCATATCTTTATACTCCTTACTCCCTAAATCTCAAAAAGTCAATTCACCCCCTCTTAACATATTTCAGTTGATCGAACGAGCTTCATTGAACCCAACAAAGTGCTTCTATAGATACCGACATATATCCACTTTTGCGTATACATATTTTTATCAACATGTTGAATTTGATATTTTGATTTATTTTAATTTAAATTGAAAAAGTAAATTTAAAACTAACATGAACAATTATATAAAATAAAAGATAAATTAAGAGATTTTGACTAATAATCATCTAATACCGAAAGAATTGCGGCATCCAACTCATACCAAGAACTCTATGATGATGTGATTTGATTTTTTGACAAGTTCTAGCAAAAACCATCTCAACCACGTTCAAGATTCTTTAAAGTTTTTTTTTAATTCAACTATCGGGAAAGTTAAATTCAAATTCGATTATCATTGATAATAAACTTGAAATCGATATGATAAAAATCATAAATTTAAAATTATATATATTCATATCTATAAATCTAGGTTCATACTACCAATGAAGAACATAAATACTATGAAAATCATCTTTATTTTCGATTGAAATAAGATCTATATCAGAAAATTATCACCAAACATGGACGAGTTTATTGCGGACGTCGTACACCACAACGTATCACTAAAGTGACGTACTGAAACATATCACAAGCTAAATTTTCCTTATTAAGTAAATATTAAAAAGATAAATTATATGTTTAGTATTTACACTATCATTTTTATTTCGTTTTAGAAACATATCACAAGCTAAATTTTCCTTATTAAGTAAATATTAAAAAGATAAATTATATGTTTAGTATTTACACTATCATTTTTATTTCGTTTTAGTGCTTAAACTTTATTTTTTAAAACCATTAACAATAATATGATGCGACATGACATGTCAATTTTTTTCACATCATTTTTTGTTTCTTCGTAAGTATTTTAATTAACTTTATTCAATCAATTAAATGGTGACACATGTCACCAATTATAAGGATAAAATAAAAGAAATTATTCTTGATCTTAGAATGGATTAAACCTAAGCCTCTTACATGAAATGCAAGACAGTCAACTATTGAATTAAACTAGTCATTTATATTAATTTTATCATATTTTATATTTAACTTATATAATAATATTGCCAAAAAATCAATATTTTTCGATGATCATAAAATTTGAATATGCGACACTTTAAATTAATGATCAAAATTTACCAATAATCAGCTAGTCAAGTGGGATGAGGCACTAGATCCTTTAAGCATGTCAAGGGTTCGAATCCTGGCGATTGTGAATGGAGTAAAATGGGTTGGGAGGGTCGCACTTGCCTCTGCAGTACCAGATTCGTAATAGTCAATCAATAGATCAGATACTGGTGGTTATACCAAAAAAATATCAAAAATTTATTCATTCAACTATAATGTGAATCTATTTTAGTATATAAAACTTAATACTTACTTTTATCATTATTAAATTAAAGAATATTTTTTTCATTTTATTTGAAAATAAAAAATAATTAAATAATTACTTATTTATAAAATTTATATTAAATTTTTTTAAATTTTTTTATAATATTATGATAATATTTTAAAATATTTATTATTTGAAATAATAAAATTATCTATTTAATTTTAAATAATATTGTACTTAACCAAAGTAATAGTTGGCTAGTAAACGTATAATTTACCCTAAATTTAAATTATTTAAAATTAAATAAATAATTTAAAAATAATTTTATTTCAATCAAACAATTAATTGAATTTTAAAAAATAAATAAATATTTTATAATATTATAAATATACTTTTTTATAATTATTTCATATAATTTTTATAAAAATATATGAATTATCTAATTATTATTTTTTATTTCTAAATAAAGAGAAAAATAACTTTTAATTTAATAATAAAGTAAGTATTAACTTTAGTATAATAAAAAATTGACACTATAGTTGAGTGACTAAACTTTCGATGATTAATTTAAAATGTCTCAAATTTGAATCTTATAAACATCGAAAAATATTTATTTTTGTGGTGATATTGTTATATAAATTAAATATAAAATATGGTGAAATTTAATCAAATGAGTAGTTTAACCCAATGGTTGAGTGATTTATTTCTCATGTAAGATACTCATGACCAATTCATACTAAGAGTAAGAATAATTTCTATCTTTTTATCCCATTAGTGGTGACACATGTCACTACATAATTGGTTGAATAAAATTAATTAAAAAATATTGACAAATAAAAAAAGTGATGCGATAATTAAAAATTAAAAAAATAACATATCATTTCACATAAGCATTATCTTCAATGATTTAAAAAAAATAAAGTTAAATACTAAAATTAACAAAAATGATAATTTAGATACAAAACCATAATTTATCCTTTTTAATATTTACTTAATAAAAATAATTTAACTAACAATACGTTCTGGTACCTCACTTTAATGATATATTACGGTACGCGTCATATGTTGTAGAATTTTCCCTCCAAATATAATCATTTTCATCATAAATTTGATAAAACCTTATTACTTGGGTAAAAAAGAACAGCAACTGGTTTTATCCTTTATCAGAAAAATATAAAAATCCTGGTTTTAATATTTTAACCTTCTTTCCCTCTTACAAGTTCATTTTTCTTGGAGCACAACCTAATCTTACACGACCAGTTCAAAATGTAACCTGCCCCCAATGACAATGCTAACTGAGCTTCTTCTTTAAGCAATACTTTTACATACGTAATAATATCTGCAAGTACACAACCGGTTCGCTTTTATTTAATCATTGCCAAGTAACAATGGCACTTCAATGCAAAATGGGGACTTTTGACAATATTAATTTCAAGCCTCTTTCACTTTTAATACCAATCTTTCTCTCCTTGTATGCAGTCCCAAGTTTCAGTAATTTCACCACTTTCGTGTTCGGGGACTCATTGGTCGATGCGGGAAACAACGATTATATTTTCACCCTCGCCAAGGCCGATTCGCCTCCTTATGGTATCGACTTCAAGCCTTCCGGTGGGCACCCAACCGGAAGATTTACAAACGGTAGAACAATAGCCGAAATGGTAGGTAAATAATAACAGACATAAATTGTATAACTATTTCGGCTACAGTTTTGAAATCCAAATTAATTAGTAGGTACATTTTGGATGATGAATCAGGTCAATCCCTTGGAGCCAAATCATATCCACCGCCTTATTTGGCCCCAAACACTGAAGCTGAGGCGATTCTCAAGGGAATAAATTATGCTTCTGGGGCCTCTGGAATCATGGATAAAACTGGGTTTTTCTTTGTGAGTACAATAATACATTCATTATGGTTTGTTTTGTTTTAATTAAAGTAGAACTAATATAATGTATGCAGATCGGGAGAATCCCTCTCGGGGAACAAGTGAATAACTTCGAGCAAAATCGAAATTATATGGTGAATGCGATGGGCGAAAATGGCACAAGGGAATTTTTGAAGAAGGCAGTCTTCTCTCTCACCATTGGGTCCAATGATATATTGAACAATGTCCAACCATCCATACCATTTTTGGGACATGAAAAGGTCTTCCCCACAACATTCCTGGATTTCATGATTTCTAACCTGACACTTCAACTTGAGGTAACAATATATACAACCATTATTTCACTTGGTAAATAATGTCACTCTACTAAATCCTACTCTTTCCTATTATTTCGTGCAGCTATTGCATTGAGATGGGGGCTAGGAAGTTGATCGTTGTCGGGGTTGGACCGCTCGGTTGCATACCGTTTGTTCGAGCATTCAATCTATTGCCGAGTGGAAAATGCTCGAGGAGGGTGAATGCATTGATACAAGCCTATAATCATAGACTAAAACTGCTATTGAATCGTTTAAATCAGGAGATGGGACCTGATGCCATCTTTGTCTTTGCAAACTCCTATGATGTTTTCATGGACATCTTAGCTAACTATCGCAGATTTGGTTCGTAACTCGTAATTGTTACCTACATTTACTTCCTTGCTGTTGCTGAATTTATGTGGTGGGACATTTGTAGGATTTGAGAATGAGGATGAACCGTGTTGCGGTGGGTATTTTCCACCGTTCGTTTGCTTTCAGAGAGGCGACGCAAACGCCACCGCTTCAGCTTTATGCGACTATCGATCCAAGTACGTGTTTTGGGATGCGTATCACCCCACCGAAGATGCTAATCTTATCATTGCCAAACAGTTGGTTGATGGTGATGAAAGCGTTAGCTTTCCGTTCAATATTCGCCAGCTTTACAATTGCAATTAGATCAGTAACGACTCTTAAATGTTGTAAATATTTTTCATGCGAATTGGAGTCTTTTTATAAGAAAATGTTCTTTTACTCTGTCTCAGAGAAACTCGACAGTTTATAGATCTTATGGCTTTTATTTTGTTTATATAAGGTTTGTTTATTAATGAAAGAACGAACATGAATTCAACAAATTAGTATCAACATAATCTTTATATCCAATGAACGAACGAAAATGAATTCACATACAAATTCATTTCAAAGCTTGTTTATTGACTCGTTTATCTTTTCTTCCTTTTATTTTCTATATTTTAAATATCAGTTAAGATAGAGATTAAATTGAACACATTATGAATTTTCAAATTATGAAATCTAAGGAGCTTAAGGACTAGTGTTACAATTTCACCATTTTTCTTTAACTTAAAACATAATATTTTATCTTTTAAACTCATCCCTATCATTTAAACCTTAAAAAATAAATAAAAATATAAACTCATCCCTATCATTTAAACCTGATTTATTTATATCCTATAGAGGTTAACAGGCTGGGCAATGCTTGGGTGAAAAATCCTCAACACCAAACAGTAGGAGCAAAGGTGTGAGTATGAGTGTTGTTGGAATGTGTGTTAACATGGGGTTTTTAAGCCTTTCTGTGTTGAATTAATTTGGGCTGTTGGCCTACAAGGAAACCCCATGTTTAGAATCCAAAAGGAAACTTATCCTTTATGTAATGATACTCATGAACACTTCTCGAAATAAAATGATGTAAACCCAGTCTCAATAACCGGAGAATGAGCATAATTAGCATGCTTCTCAAGTAATAAAAGTTATGGCTATAATCACACTAAACCAAGCTAAAATCCTTGCTTCAAATTAAATGAAGATTATAAATATTTATAACTCAATGGCACAAATTAGTTACGGCATCACATCAATCGGGTTTGGTCCCCACACGCTCACACGAAACCCAAGTGGACCCCATCCTTTTCTTTCACGTCTCCCAACGCATTCGTATTCACACATGTCAAAGTTTAACGCCGTTAACTTTAACAGATAACTCACTCTCAACGAAAGTCAAAACAGAGCCCTTGAGCACCTTGAAAGTTGAAAAACTCACAGCCAATAAAAACCCACTCAGAAAAAAAAAGGACAGAAACCAAAGGTCAAACGACAATCTTTATTCAATAAAAACATGGCCGTTTTGTACTTGAAAGTTTTGAATTATTAGTGCTTTGAGGGGATTTCGAGACACTGTTAAGCAAAGGCTAACGTTTGAGGGATGTGTCTGTGCTTTTGTCAGTGTAGAGTGTGTGGGGAGAGAGAGAGAGAGAGAGAGAGAGGAGTGAACTGAAGTGGGTTTTGTCTGTATTCCGTAAGGGGTGCGAATGTTGGAAGATAAGGAAGCAAAGCGAGACGCATGGCTGAAAATAGCGCACCGCTTCACCGTAATATCTGTCAACTCTTCTTTTATATATTACCAACAAATACCACTGGCTTGGCTTGAGATGTGTGACGAGAAACAAAGGGGATTCATTTACAATGTCGGGTAAGATTTTTTTGTGTGTGAAAGAGTGGAAGTAGGTTGAAATTAAGGTTGTCTTGTTCTTGCTCTGTTTCTTTTAGATGGGAAACGTGTCATTTTGAAGACATGGATACCGGAAACAATGATTTTGTGGGTAGATCAGATCGGGGTTGTGATGTTGGGTTAGGTTTGATGATGATGCAAGAAGTTGAGGACTCTTGTTCAAACAAGAGCTTCGTGGCACTTGACCAGCATTCTTCAGCGTCACCATCTTCTTGTTATGTTGAAGGATTTGATGGACGAGCTAGTGGTTGTGGTGGGCCCATTGTTTGCAACACAAGCAATCAGAAACCATGCAGGGGTGATATATACGATGTTGTCGGTGCTGCTTCTGCTTCGGCTTCTGCTGCAGTTGTGTTAAAGTCTCTGCACCATCACTCCTTTTCCGCTGACCCTTCTTTTGCCCACAATTTCTCTGGTAAAAAAAAAAAAACTTGTTTCCTTAATCCTTTTTTCTTATAATTTTGTTTTTATGAAGTAATTAAAAGAGTATATGGATTAATGCATGGTGTTCAAAATGTAATGAAAGTAGGAAAAATGACAGCCCCTGTGAATGCTAGAGTTCCTTTCACAGCAGCTCAGTGTCAAGAGCTAGAAAGGCAGACCATGATATTCAAGTACATGATGGCCTCTGTCCTTGTCCCTGCTGAACTCCTTATACCCATCAATACAAACCCTTCAAATGGTAATCTTTTGTTTCTTCTTTCGTTAGCTTTTTTCTTGCATTAAATATAAGGGGGACATGTAAATTTGTTGTTGTTGATAGTATCGATGAAGGGGGTTTTGGAAATGGGGTTTTCGAGCAATAGCTCGGACCCGGAGCCATGGAGGTGCAGGAGAACAGATGGGAAGAAATGGAGGTGCTCGAGAGACGTGGCTCCTGACCAAAAATATTGCGAGCGTCACTCCCATAAGAGCCGTCCCCGTTCAAGAAAGCCTGTGGAATTGCCAAACCACTCGTCCAATAACAACAGCAATGATCACAAAATGCTAACACTTAAAAACATGGCATCTGATGGCAGTGGCACCAAGCAGCCTCATCAAAGCCCACATTTTACAAGCCACAACAACGATGTTCGTTTATTCACATCTTCATTTGATCAACCCAGGTGGGTCTTCGGATAAACCAACACTCTGTCATGCTCTGCATCTGGTATAATTTTTCTCCATGTTAGTATATAAATGCATGATGTGGATTTGTTGTCTTATGTGAGTTACTGTTAATGGTTGGTCCGTGAAGGTGCTTGGAGTGGTTCGTGAAAGGGGAGACAACCGTTCCTTTTGCCAGCAATTCCAACACCGAGTGGCAGCAGTTTAAGGCACAAGGCACGAATTATGGGGGAAATGCTAGTGAACATCATCAGCTGCATCTAAACGAGCAGTTCAGCCCCAGTTTAGCCTCTTTGGGAGGATCCTTGAACCTCAACCAAACACACTCACAAGACACGAGGGCCTTCATCTCTGCATGGTCGACAGCGGATAGAGAGGTTGTTGAAATGGATGGAATAGGGAGCAAACGCCATGTTTATTCAAATGAGAAGCTGCCACTCTCATCTCTCACACTGTCAATGTGGGGCGGGAACGAAAACAATCGAGAGGAAGACGATGAGAACAGTCATGAAATAACGGAAACCATCTCATGGATGGGGTCGTCGCCTGGTGGACCACTGGCTGAAGCATTGTGCCTTGGCATTGCAACAAGTCAAACCACAAGTAGTTGCAGCAAGAGCACATGAGACATCCCCCTAATAGCTACTAGCTAACTATAATCTTCAGTTTAAGCAAAATAACTTCATTAACTTTGGTAATCTTAGAACATTGCTAATATTGGACAAAGGGTTTTCTTGAAATGAAAATTCAATGTCAATGTTAAGCTCAGAAGCTTATGGAATGCGATGATTAGTGAATGGCCAAATGCCCTTTGTTTTACATCCCATAGCTCATTAATGTCGGTGATTTTGAATTGCAGACTAAAACACGACTAATTTTGTTTAATTTCCAATTAAAATCAATGATACTATCATTAATCATCATCATAAGCTTGCAGAAGGAACATATCACTTGTCTTTTTTATCACATTAAGTACAGTACTCTTTTTGAGTAAGAGGTCCATTAATTAGCATCCATAAATATTTTCCTATGTCATGGGTGTCAGATTGAAACTTTTCTCCATTTAACCTTTTTCTTAGAGTGAAAGAAAATGATAAATTTTCCATCAATGAAGGACAAACTTTATTTACTTGTTAGTTGTTACCCTACGATTTCTCATATAATAGAGCAACCTTCCCACTCTTTGATAAAATAGTTATCTATTAATAGTATAGTATTAATAATGTGAGTTCCCTTTTTGATATTTTGAATGTTCCTTCAAAAAAAAATGTAAACCTGTTTAATTTACTTTGTATCTTAAAAGTATATTTTTTTTTCATTTTTTTTCATTTTTTAAGGGTAAACTACTTCAAATACCACTCACCTCTAAGCTCGAACTCGTTTATACCATTAATATTTTAATTTTACCAATTTTAACACTGATGTTTATGTTTAACTGCAATTATGTCACCCTGCCGTTAATCTATTAACGGGACAATGAAATGACATCTCCGTTCTGTGACGACGATGACGCGACTCCGTCACCAAAATGACGTTGTTTTGGTTCGACCGTTTTGATGCTAAAAAATTTAAAACATCGTTTTATTGATGAAAAAATTATTCCAATGAGATTTGAACCATAAACCCCTAAACAAATTCAAACTCCCAACCACCAAGCTAACTTAATAACTTATTAAAAACTTAACAAAACTATTATAAACTTAAATAACAGTTTGAATTTTTAATTTCTATAAACACATATTAATAGTCATATCATTCCTTTCTTCTTTAACAAACCTCAACAAAACCCTAAAAATGGAAGCTTCCTCCCATCATCATTTTCTCTATTCTTCTTTGCCCTTACATCGACAACATGTCATGACTATTCAGGAATCTGGGTTAGGGAAAATGATTTGGGAATGGTTTGATACGATTTGGGAGTAGGGTTGATCGTGAGAATTTGTTAAATTAGGTATTGGATGTAAATTGAGGGTGACCTGATGACTAATGATAATAACAAGTTGTAAGTGTTTAAACGTCATCGGATTAATGACCGAGGGTAGTTGGGTAAGCAAATTAGAGTGGAGTGGGCCTAGGTTGGGGTAAGCCCAATTCGTTGTAATTAGTTGGGTAGTTGTTAATTGACCTAGATTAGTCAAACATTAATTGTATATAAAAAGGGTTGTATTGTAAACAGGGGGATATCTTGAATTTGGAAACAATAAACTTCATACTTCTTTTGTCTTTCTTCACTCTTCTGTAACATTTTTTCTTCGAATCATTACTATTGGTATCTAGAGCCAATATATCTTGATCCATTAACAAATTGTGGAAATCAAGAAAAACGCACACCAAGAATGGTGATGGCAATAAATCTACAACCACTCAACCTGCAATAGTGCAAGAATCATTAGATAATCAAAAAGAATTTCATGCATGGTGGAAAGATCAAAAAAACACCTTGGACAAATGACTGGACATATTGGAGTCTCGCGCAGAAAAAATGCTTGGAACTGTGCAAAGAATCTTAGCCTTGATGACTAAAGGAACTGAGGAGACATAAGCTTCACCTGCAAGTAGTCAGTGAACACCTCAAACGTACTAGAACAAGTCAGAAGGAAAAAAAAACAATAGAGGTAACAGTCATTAATGATAAAGAAAGATATTTTTTAAAACCATATAAACCATAGATATTAGCATCTAAACCTCGAAGAGTGGTAAATTCAATTTTACAAGAACCCTTATGGAGCTCACATACCACTCCCAAGAATAAAAATAGATGCATTGTGGAATGACACTCATCAACCGAGTATCACATCCAACATAATCGTGTTCCCAGGCCCAAGATTGATCTCCCATTGTTTAATGGAACCAATCCGAGGGGTTGGGTCAAAAAATGTCAAAGATACTTCTCAATTTTTGATATTCCTGAAAACTAGAAGTTAGAAGTTGTTGCAATGTACTTGGCAGAGTAGGCAGAGGTTTGGTTTGATGGCTATATCTTGCAAAAGAATAAGGTTGCATGGCAGGAATTTGTGACAGATCTATGTCATAGATTTTGTGACATGAATTACTCGGATGTGATAGATCTATGTCATATATTCTGTGATATTCTGACGACACTTTCTTCTACTCACTACAATTTCTGACTTACTTGACCACTGATTAAGATAGATCTACTAATACATGAGTCCTTATACTCGGGGTGCCTGACTCACCCAACTACTCATCTTCATACTCTACACTAAAAACACTGATTAAGATAGATCTACTAACCTCTTGCACTTCAAGGACTCGGTCACAACTAGCTCTGGAGCATAACAACTCAATCTAAGAAGGTTTTTATCTTATATTCGTACATTAAACGATCTCTATGAACTAGCTGAGAGAATTGCATTCTCAGTTCATCTATATGCGCATAACTAATATTCTTGCCCTAAACTCACCCTGCAACTGATTCCACGTAGGCATTTCTGGTTGTAGAGCCATCTCCACGGTCTCCCACTAATTGATATCATCACCCTTAAGCAAAGCGGTGATGAACTTTAACTTATCCTCTAAGTATGGTGAAGCTGGCTTAAGGTTCTCACGATCTCTCTCTTAACCACTGACCGTTCGAAATTGGATCATCATCACTTGGATCGTAGAGATCGACTGTCTGATACATCCTTAGTCTCCCTACTGGGAATTCTATTGATACTAATGGACCCTGGGAGGCTGACTGGACAGTCTGAGTTCTAGAAATAACGTCCAATATCTTTGAGAGTGGAAGTTACACCCCTGAAAAAAGTCACCTTTACGACGCCCGTGCCTAATCGGACTCCAATATCCTCTGCCCTTGGTAGTAACTCCTTATTAATTTTATCGGGATAAGAGTCTTGCCTCTCCATCCTATCATCTAGATTAGGCTCAAAGTTATCTGCCATTACAAAGTCTCTATCATAGACTAATGAATAAGGCACCATCAGGATTCCAAACTTATACAAGTATTTTCAATACCTAAGGGCATATATTCACTAACACCTTACTAAAACAAACAACTAGGTCATAAGAACGACTCAACCTGACGCTCTGATACCACTAAATGTAACACCTTAAACCCAATTTTGGCATAAAGTACCACATTAGGCTACTGAGGCAACCCCTGATTTTCAAAACATGTTCAATTTATTTTTAATAATATGAAGGTATCATAATACATTTTAAAAAAATATATAAAATACTTTTATAAAACAGAGCTCCGAGACACATAATTTAAAATCAAAATAATAAACATATGAATTATAAATTTTGAATACAAGAGTAAGGTTCTATGAATCCATATGCCCACTAAACTATAAAATAATACTCTTAAAGGGATGCTAAAACCCCTGATGTGACGGTACTCCATGAACTATTCAATCTATTGACCAACCAATGGAAAACATTCGAAGGTTGAACTTACAAAACCCAATAGTATAATCGCTAATCTAGAGCAGCAATAAGAGTTTTATAAACACAAGCATGTTGAATACATAGTACTAAGCAGTAGGTACATGCATGATCTAGATCAAGTCCTACCAACTTGAGGCTTAGTTGTTTTATAAATGAAGTATGAGTCTCACACTTCTCTATATCCTCTGCTAAGGGTTAGCCATAAGCATACCTCTAAAGGGTCACTAACCCTAATGATTGTCTCTAATGTGTATTATCTAAATGTCATATTGATGTTCATGTACATTATCTAAATGCAATACTAACTCTACTGTGTATTATACACTAGCGGATGTAGGTGTCATGATGTGGCTGAGGGGTTATATCTTAGAGCACACATCCCTCTAACCTACCATTGTCACTACTGTATGACACACAACATCAAACAAACAAGTTATTGAGGATGTCATGGTGTGACTGAAGGTTATATATCTCGGAGCTTGCATATACCTCTAGCCTTCCTGAATACCCTCGGGTACTCTGGGGTGAGATCCAAAGTTTCATCGAAAACATATACTCCGCCAACTTACTCCGTCGAGTCTTGGGGTATCTACGCCCAGCTAGCAAGAGAAGTTTATTGGCACTGACTGGTATATACTAGACATCCTAGCAAACAAGACAATTATCCCACTACTAAAGTAACTCTAGTGTCTTCATTATTTCCCGAATGTCACACACAAAGGCTAGTTTTTTGACATCCTACTTGTTATTGTTTCTAGCTGTTCTGAATTATTACTAATCTCGTTTACTGGTCTCCTTAGTTGCTATCTCGCTCGTTCTCTCATCTAGAACGTTAAGCAATGATTTATTAGTCTGTTACTACTGATAATCTATGTTGATTTGGTTTTTCATTAATATATGGTATTTTAGTCACTACTATAACTTTAAGAAGTCTCTACTCATTTATGACTTCAAGAAGACTACGATATTTACTGTTTATTAACTTTGATACTCACTGGCTTGATACCTAACTCGGGTTTATTTCTGGGTAGCGATACTATATTCACTTTTACTACGCATTCCTTCAATTCACTCTTAAATTAAAAGGGTAACTATGAGTCCATCACTCTTTTTCGTTCTTACAGTGCACACATTTGTTGTTTCATGATCTGATTCCTAGGTCATATCACTTGTCGGTACACTCTCTGCAATGATCCTTCATTTTTAGACATCTTTTACGAACTAAACTAAAGATAATTGGACGCATTACACCGACTATGGTTACTCTAGTTGTAACCTACTCTTACGAGAGTCTCTGTCATCTTTTGGCCAATTACATCCCTCACTGACTATGTTATACCATTATAGACCATCCTTAGCTTTTACAGACCTTAATCGGGTCTAAATTGATCATCTAAG